CTTTCTTAAGGAAATATCAGTTCATTTTGTCCAAAGTATATGTTTTAGGTACTAAGATTTAGGGAACATATTCTTTGTATACTTGTGAAAAATGAAGGACGACGGAAACTTATTAATCTTTGAATGCAGCCGTCCTAAAATGTAAGTTCGAGAAAAGGGCTTCTTTGGGAAAAGGAAGTAACATCATTCAGTAAATTAAATCCCCACTTCGTTGTCAGACAGGAAGATTAGCAACGAATAATCAAAAGTTAATTATTGCGGGTACAGTTATATAGTCAGTTGCTGTCGACACCAGTTGGCAGCTAAAAGTTGCGGCAGTCCTTGGCGGACAAAATTGGTAATCGCAATAGCGTAGGGGCTAATTGGCAATTGCAATTTGCGTCACTCCAGTGTCAGTCCGGATGATCCGGTGTAAGCACTAATTTTTTGTTGTGGTTCAAGTTTGTCCGCAGTGATCGGCTGTAGTGTCTTCCATCTTTGAAGATGGCAAAAACAGCAGAATTTAAAGATTCCATGAATTTCGATAGTACTCATCAGCTGCTACCTCCCGTTGCATAATATGAGTACCAAATGAGAAAATACAAAATGGAGATCGTACAGGAAGGTAAATAGAGTGATAGGCCATGGTCGCGAAGGCTAGTTGGTAAGGGAGGCGAGTTTAAATAATGTAGAAGAAAAATGAGAGGAAAAAGTGCTAAGGCGAAAAGGGGGCAGGGAACTTTGTAAATTAGGGAGTCAGATGTTACCGAGGCAAAATTAGGTCAACGAAATGCTCCAACTGTTAACATAGGTCAGCTTTTGTCCGCCATATATATGCTGCCTCCAGGGGATGTCCAACTCAATTTTAAGGCAAGTATAGTAAAGCCTTACAACCAATAATGATGCAACAGTTATTTCCTAAAGAGCCTGTTTCCATATGCTTGCCTTTAAGGGCAACAACATTTTAAATACCATCAAGAGTTCCCTCCTTATTCATATTTTGCAATCCAACTAAAGCCTTACAAGGTCCTTGTGCGAAGGGGACCTTACCGCTGTACGTCACTTCGGATTGTGCTTGCATATTAACATGCACTTGCGGATGCAAGTAAATAGAGCGAGCGCAATGGGAAGTGGCAGCCAGAGTCAACGAGCACTTGCTTAGTTGGCTTTTGAAAAATAAAAACATAATTCCTCGGCCTTTAATTAGTGAACACTTGCTAGATACGGGTCATTCCGTTGAACCCAAAACGTCTTTCCGAGTACTTGTTCGGGCACGGACTACTCGTACCTTACGTTACACACACACACTTTATTGTAAAGACGTGCAATACGCGGACAAAAAACCTAACCATTTCGAAACAGGCTAATGTTTGAGCGACATAGTTGCCGTCATGATAATGCCTACTGCGGTTACTTAAACCAATTTAAACGTTATTCTGGATAGAGAATGCAAATACAGACCGGTATTTTTTTCTTATTCTGTAGTAATATGACAGTGGTCCACAAATAATGATGATTATTCATTCCGGGGAATGAGTTTGGGGTGACAATACCATATTTCGTAGCTACAGGTTAATACATTCTTAAACGCGCATATATAAAACTCTACTTTCATAACCGCAGATACTTCTGCTTGTTTTAGGTTCAGAACAGGCTAGTAGGTGCTATACATGCAAATAATAGCACACAACATCATATATTTAGCGTTACGTATTTCATTTCGTATGCCCTACTATGCTTAATTAAAGAAATATATATTTTCTTACGGTTCCACTCCAAATATGATAACAGAGTATTCCGTAGTATGTATATTGAAGACGTCGCATTTACAGACATGGAAACATTCCTTTGTCCTTAATTTGGTCTATAGTGTGAGTGCAATGTTTCAAATGATGTATTGCGGAGTTCCACTTTTTGAACTCTTATTGGTACCGCTCAAAAACTTGGATGACCGTGGAGACCGACTAATCTACTACAGTAAATTTCGATGCCGTCTCTCCTTGTCTCAATTTTACTTTCGATTAGTGAATGAGAAACAAGAGAATGCAAAAATGACCAGATCATATGTCGCATAGTAATCGTGTAACGCTACGAAACTGCTGGCTGAGAGCTGAAGAATTGAGCGGAAAAAAACAGCGTCTCGAAAAAAACAATTAGCTATTATGCCCGTCTGAATTATTGTGAATGTATCCATATTCGCGGACATTCCAGTTGCGACCGGGTCAATAGTATTCAGTTGTGGTTGACGCATCTCATTTCATATTTGTACTTTCCATTTTCGATCAAGCCAACAAGTGTCTACTCATATTACTACGCACAGATTCCATCAGTGTACTATAAAAAATTGCCTATTTCCTCCGTCCAGGGTGATACGTAAGTAACATATACACTGGGCCACATTGCCACAAATAACTATTAGAGGAGCTAGAATGACGAAGTTTGATGAAGATAGACGGAGATTTGTCAGTTAGACATAACCTGTTCAAGGCTACGAACAAAAATATTCGGCAACATACAACACTAACTTATCGTCTGTCATTTAATTTGACCAAAATCGGTTACTTACTCGAACAAGTTGGTCTCATTGATGAAACTTAAATAAATCGCATAAACATGAGCGATTTCCTGCTGATCGTTCTCATGATCTGAGTTGGTTTGATGGCTTTACGTGCTATCGATTTTCAAGGCACTAATAGCAGTAACATCAGTGGATATCTTGCTCACTTGCATTTGGTTGCGCTGTTACATTGGCATTACATGAGGTGCATTATCCATATGCACAACATATGGAATAACGATTAGAACGGATTTCTTCTCACGGTTCCTTCGGAAATTCTGCTACATACATTTTGAGCGGCATATGGTATGCCGGCAAATGAAGTGCACAGCATGCGTTAAATGGATTATTCTGTTGTGTAAATTCAGCAAAATGTCGGATCAAATCTGCGCAAAGCGTGTTATTGCAGACCATAACGCGACATTATGACGTCACTCTCCTTTGATTTTAAACAACAGCTGATTACATGCGATACCGCCATTGCGCACCTTCGTTACGCTCATTTGCCAGTCACGGGTTCTTTGAGTTCTCACAGGTTGTAATCGGGGGGCCCTTTGCGGTCCTCTCGTCGACGCAGTCACTGGTGCTCCGTGTGAGAGACAGATGAGCCCGTGACCGAATCTAGTCACCTGGTGACAAATATAGTGTATATATATTAGCTGGTCTCTTGAGGATTTCATATATTGCGTGGTGAGCAGATTTGAAAGAAAGGACTGCAAGTAAGCTGGAATTTCGGGGATATGAGTGTTTTATAATGCGTATTAATGAGTTCCTTAATATTCATAAAACAAAAATATTGTTCTCCTATGGGCATTTATATGTTGCATATTTTATGTTTGTTTCTTATTTTCTTAAAAGGCACAAAAAGAACAAACTATGATGCAATCAATCCTGAGGGTATTTTTAATGGCTGTACTACTGGCTGTTGGTGAGTGCTTTATTTTACCTATATAAATGTCTACACGCATTAGCTCCTCATACGGATATGATTTTAAAAATACCAGAAATATTACTTCCAAGTAGTTTATGGATACTTATAGCAGAGAAGGTTTAGTGAAAGAATGTAGATCGTCCAATATCAAAATACCCCTCCGGGCATATAGTACAAACAAAAGAACTTAAGCTTGATTAGCTTAGTAGACAAAGGTTGTGTTAACTGTCTTTTATATGCTTTACATTTAGGTCAGTGTGAGGAGTATATAGTTAATGTCCAGGAAAATAGCAACTTTTTCGGATGGAATATATTTCCAGAAGCACCTACTGTGAGTTCTTCAATTTTAATTTGTATTCTGTTGATCTCCTCTTCAAACAATATATTTATTTAGACAGTTAACATAGGACAGGGGGTTTTGTGTTTATTTGACTTGTTCAAGTGTCGGTACCTGCATCTTAACCGCTAGTATATACTATTGTCTATATTTGCTTGCCTTCACTTCCTTAAGCCGTTCCTTTTACATTTTTCAAGTCAGCGTCTTCATACCAGCCTATCAGCAGGGGCTGTGCCAGTACTCCATGTATTCAGCCCAATTTCTGCTACCAATCGATGTCAGGTATGTATGAATTAAATTTTTATTCGTACTAAGATAATGAAAACGTCAGTCTCTCCTTATCCAGATGAACTGTCATCTAAAAAGAGATTGCAAAGCTCAATTACGCATACGACAAATATAAGGCCCCACAAAATGACAGCATTTTCAGGGAAGAATTTTCCTTGTTATTGTTCGAGAGCTAGGTTAGTTCGAAGTTCATTTGGATATGTAAACGGAGGTTGAAAGCATCGGTTCGGCTAATGGCGGTTCCGCTGCTTTTTCCTCAAATTATAGTTATCTATACTAGGCCATACTTAAGGGCAAATATGAAGCGCATTAGCGAGACAGTTAAAGACGTTGATATGTGTCTTGAGTCAAGACACAAGCTGCGAAAGCTAACTTTACACATGCCATCGATGTCCCAATAATGTATGTTGAAATCGTTGGACTTGAAATTTCGGTAATCTAGCTAATCAAGCAAATTGTCCTATCCGCTGACAAAACCCCGGATTGTTTCCAAGACCTCTAAACTGGTGCAAACTTATACATGTGAAACGATAAATAATGGTGAAAACAAGAAAACAAGTATACGACTCCCACAAATTGCAAGGTGCCTAACATATTCTCTCTGTGAAGTATGAGTGTCCGTCTTATGGATCATGGCTGGTTGTAGTGTACAGAAAGAAGAGCGTCCAAACATAGCATTTTTATTGTGAATTTAACGGAAAGGTTCATATTGTGGTATATGCTTATGCCAATAAACGACAGTTGTGAAAAAATAACGTAACATAATTACATATATTGCATAGTGGAAAATTGGAACCTAAAAGTAAATTATGCGAAATAACGCAGAAAAAATAACATTTTGGCTGAATGCCAGTTGTGTTTTATACTTAATACTTGCAGTACGACAGCTCGCATTGATCCAGGGCAAAATGCCTCAAGGATCCGCGGCGGCTATCTTCAATCCAGTCGTCCAATCACTTTCACCGGTGGCTATATCCTTTGTCCCAGAAAATGGAACAGGTATGTCAGCAGTAATTTTCTGTAAAGGACCACTGGCGGCGTTTTCCGTATGAATTTTCTCATATTATGGCGGTTATACGTGACACCGAACAAAATCTTTTCTTTAAATTATTTTTGCTGCTTTCTGCCACTATCTGAGACTAGAGTAACGTAATCAGCAATTGCTCATATTCCTTGTAGTCTGGTCAATATAAGACTCTTTATGTGCTATTTAATATTGCATACTGTTGACTTGTGTTTGTGCCATTCAGACTAACCCGCTCACCCAGCACGCTTACTCTCATACAAGCTAATCATCGAACCAGTGCATATTATAGCATTGCATTTGCCATGCACTTGAAGATGCCTTAAAATGGTCTGAGACCTTGGCAATTAGTCTATTGGACGGAATATATGTAGATGGCGGAGGATTGGGGGTAGGAAAAAACTCAGTTGGCTAGAATTGTTGTCTCTTATTCCATATGTCTTAGAAAACACTGTCATACCCGATTTTTTTTATTCCGGTTGGTGTATCATAAGCTAGTTTTCATGTGTCTTACACCTTGATTCGACGTGCGTTCACACTAGAATGGTAAAAAGTGATAATTAATCATCTAGGTACTGAAACGTGTTAGTAGATCAGCTTCTAGATACTAGGCATCATGCCTAAAGGCCCTCCAAACCACTGATCCGATCATTTTCTCCTTACCGGTTCTGAGTCTGAATAATTGAGTTTGCAGCCGTTCAAATTTGGTCAAAGTCCGCTAACATATATTATTTCTTTTCTGTCATCTAGCTCCTGATCTCCCCTCCAATGTTCACTTATTGCAGGAATATGTGATCCCGCCAAATGTTAATCAAAATCGCTTCTTCCTTTTTACCCACGAAATTGGTGTACGTTTTGGCTGTGTTCTTTCGCAGTCTGCATACGCCTATTCTTTGCATAGAAATATGTAAAGTTAGGATAAATTACAAAAACATATATATTTTGGATCTTCTTTGCCCTCAATGTATATTTTGGTATGGAGCCTAAAAGAGTGAAAAGCGCGCGCGTGTAGAAGTCCTGAGAAAGGAGGAAGATGCCGGAGCCTGCCATGTGGCTTCTTGCCCTTTAGTAAATTCCTCAATGAAGATAACTTTAGTTACACAACAAAGTTATGTCGTTTAAGCTGGATTTACTAAGACAGTGGCCCCCTCCAAAATGAACGACAAAAAATTTTCGAGCCATCAGCAGTCCCGTTTATGCACTCATTTCACGTGAAGCTTACCTCTAAAATAGGATCTTTTGTATTCTCCAGGATGTTGCAACGCTTGGCGAAATTGTCGACCCCGACGGATCAGGACAGTCGTCTAATCTCAAAGTTGACACGTACTTCAGTGAGTGACACACTTCATTTGCGCGTCTTTAATGCATTGATCAAGCACCACTGTGCCAAGCAAACTTAATATTTATTAGGTACAGCCGAGAAGGCGAGATTTCACTTTAAGCATGCTCCATTGGCAGTCACAAGGTAAAAATGATGCGAGCTATTAGTGCATGAACTTCGTGTCCTACCTACCGACCCATGTCTCTTAGGGAAAGTATATATTAAGGCGTAATTTTATTTATTTAAATGACCAGCCGATTAACGTTTAGCAGTTCTGTCAATGCAGACAAACGCAAAGCGTTTTTCATGTCCTGGTCTTCTTTTGCACAGACTATTCGATAGCCTCCCGAGTGGTCTATGTCACTGGTCAAATTGGAACACAGAACATCTCGGTGAACTTTCAGTTACCTTTCAGAAGCGATATTACCATGGTCTTCGTCCCTGTAAAGAAACTTGACAACCCGCCCAGTCAGCCAGTTTGGATTGATTGGAAACATCTGACTATCAATGTGACGGGCAGTGCGAGTATATTAGAGGCAATTCCAGGCGTTTTAGCCTGTGCTCTTCTCATCTTCTTCATCGTGAAAGCATTTACCTTCTAAGAAACATGGATAATGACTTCTACCACACAAACTCCCTTCCTCATACGCGATGTAAAACTGCCAGACTTCCCGCTTTACTTTTCCATTCTCCAGATATTTCCGTCTATCTATAATTGCAACATAAAAATTTTCGGATTCTTGTTATGCCATTTGCTGATTTATCAGAAACTGACCCCTTTTACAAATAAACCAATACTCATAAAACCGAAATTATTTCTATTTCCTAAAGTGTCAGCACAATTCGCTTGCACCGTCTAGTCGAACTTTTAAATCAAATTTGTGAAGTCTTTCTAACTAAGGTATTTATTATTTACACTATCATAGCGGATGGTCATTCTGGTAAAATCTGTAAGCTCCAAAAAGGATATACTATTTGATGGTAACCTTACAACCGCCGCCAATTGATGCCTTAGCTGTTCTGTACAAAATGTATTCGCGATGCCTCATAGCTCCCCCCCACCATATGCGGGCAAGGAAGTATAGCAGAAGCAAACGTAGAAGATCAACTTCTTCCCCAAGAGTGCGTGTAGAATGAAATTGGTTTGTTTAAATTATCTTTACTAAGTTTCAGAAAATGCGTTCTCCAATGACCCTGAATAAAGTCAGGCCTATTACACAGGGTTAACATAAACAGTGCATAATGGCAGAACACGGCGACTGTAAGCATCATGACTAATCGTCCTTGTATATTTCGTAAACTTAACGCGACATCTTTCCAAATAGTGCTAGTGACGTTCGCTAATGACTTAACTGGTGTAGTTAAAATGCACAAAGGAGAGTTAAGTATCGGCATATGCTGGACGGCATATGCCAGCCGGTTTATACGTATCCAGATGTCTATACAACATATTTACATACTGACTGAAAACAGAAAAAAATGAGCCGGTAAAATGTACTTCGACAGTAATACATAGGAGTTCTTTAAGGCATCTTGTTTTAGTCCTGTTCAGCAATGAGGCTGCAAAATCTGTAACGGATACATGATAAAATGTGCAGTTCACATGAAAAGGCCGGCAATTCGCTGAAATAGATGCATTAGCTGCCCCAGCCCATGACATCGGAAGAGCAACATGTACTTTAGCATGCATTTTGCGTTGTTAATGTTGTTTATTGAATTAAGAGGAGGCGCAACATGCTGCTTACTTGAAAAGATTTCACTTCAAATCAATATATTGGGGGAAGACATAGACAAGGCGGACCATATCCAATGGCGCTTAATATGCAACGTCGGTCTTGTTCTATTAAGCGCTGTGGACCAAGGCCTTTTAGTTCCGTGTGTTGTACTATAAAAGGAAATTGATGAAGACCAGGATTGCAGTAATTATGTCTTTCCATGGACCAAACATTGCCTGTATGCCTAAAAAAACTTTTAGATTCCCTATAATACTGCTTGATTAAACCTACACAGCAGGGAAGGCTTTTACGCAGCCAACGCTCTACCAACGAGACAAATATGCCAACCCAGAACCTATTTGTCTTTCTTGTTGGCTCTAGATGTTTACTTAGGAAATCATGCCTAAGCGGTAGGCTTGCTCTTTCGCCATTTTGGATCCCATAAAGCAGTAATTTGAAGTTATTTAACGTATTGATGCTTTTCTTAGCCAGTTTTTAACCAATACGAATTTCAAAGATGTTCGCCCATGTTGCCTTAAATAAAACTATTTTGTATTGAACGAGGCACATTCACGATGGCGCGAGAGTTGCGTAGCCTTAAGTGGAAATTCGCCGTGTATTCGAAGAATGAGCAGGAGCTTGCCATCTCCGCCAGGAACAGGTTGTAGCCCAGGGATGCGAATATGGTAAACATGTACTAGCGAAAGGGCCAAATAGTGTTTCGCAGACATTTTTTATTGTATAACATAGTTGCGAGGGGTTGCTATCAGTCATGGGGGCCGACGTTCCCCTTATTTCTCCTCTTATATAATCCATTTTAGTGGCAGATTGGCGTACGCCGATCAGTTAGAGGACTCACTCGTCCGTCCATGGTGCCTTTGGAGCTCACACGCGAGCCTACTCCACAAGACAGCTAATGATATAGGCAGAAAGACATTACCGACAAACATAAAAGAGAATAGGATGGCCAAATCTGACTTATTAGTCGTCGTCAGCCAATCATACCCAGGCCAGGGTTGTGTCCCACCCGAGCCTCCAACTCGCGACCTCTCTAGCCAGAGTCAACCATCCTTACT